CGATTCTGGATCGATACTAGATAAGGACAACTATGAAGAGAGACATCTATCTCACCTACAGTCTCTGCTTTATCTTCCCTTCCTCACGAACCAACAAAACCTCGATTCTTTCTCCAAAAACCACCTAAACCGAATTAGGTTTCAGAAAACAGGAACGACACGCTGACTTCGAAAGCACACAGAGAATAGAGATTACCTCAGAATCAGGATCGGAAACCTGATCTGGAAACTAGACAGAGAGAGATATCCAACGGTATGTGGATCGTCCTCTGAGTCCTTTTGGTTCGACATAAATCCTCCCTCTAAGTGGACTGATAGCAGACTCGAAACTGCAGAAACCTCTCTCCGTAAAACAATGATAACTCATAGAATAAACATCCGATCGACAAACCGTTTTCTCCTATATGAAGATCAGAGAGTGGAGAATTTAACCTTAAAGTTTTCTTCCGATCCGATCTGTTTTTACTGGCCGTTACTCTCCTCTTCTAAAACTGGACAGAACTGCGTCCAAAGCCTCAACCAACAATCTCATCTTCTCTCTCACAACCTACGAAAATCCTCTCTCTCTCCACTCTGATTTTTGCCTTAAGAAGGAGGCTGCTCGTTTATATAGCGAGCCCTAGGGTTTCTCCAACCCAAAATCGTTAACCAAACGATTTAAAATCAAACCGATCGAACCGACAAATCAAAATCGAACCAACCGATTCAATTCAATCTTGCGTCGATTGACGCACTGCCCAAAAATCACAATTTTGGTTCACGGGCGTTACATCTTCTCTCAAGGCCAGACTCGTGCTCGTCGTCTTCGTATTCGCAGCAGTGAGAGTACTACTATTGGAATTATGAGGAGAAAATCTCTTGAAATGTGTTGTATGTCTCGGACACAATTTCGAATCCATTGTTTACACACAAACACACTGAAAACACCAAAATCAGCTTCAAGTTTGTGAAGTGGCGGAAATTTCTATCAGAAAGAAGAGAAATTGTGACAGACAACGATAATGAAGAGTGAAAACGACTAAGGTTCTAGGTTTTATTTATATATTTCCGTTGAATTGTTTTGTCTTTAATATTTATTTCCTTTTTTGGATCCAATCTTCATTTAATGCAGATTGTTAATTTCCATTTACCCTTGTTAATCTAGCCGTTGGAGTAATAATGCCGATTGTATATGTGTTTTGTTGGATTTGATTTCTTTTTTTTTTTGGATCCAATCTTCATTTAATGCCAGTTGGAAATTTCCATTTACCCTTGTAAATCTAGCCATTAAATTAATTTCTACTTTTTTATATTAGTTAATATTAATAACCTCATCTAGAAAAATAATAGAGTGGTAAACTAAAGATATGGTTTTAATTCTATTTATGCATATATATTTTTGAGTATACATAATATAATATGTATCAGGACATAAGAATTAAAAAATAAATTAAATTTTAATGGTTTAAGACGCATGTTTAAATATTTCAAAATGTTTTGTAATTTAACGGATTACTCATTAAAACTTAAATTTTGATATTAATAATTTTTTTAAGTGTTTACCGCGTATAAACGCGGATCCTAATCTAATCATTAATAAAACTTAAAGCTTCACAAAGTTTATATTTACTAAGTAGGGGAGCAAGAGTTTACATAATTTGATGCCCTTATTCTTGCAGATTTTGCTAAATCAACAACCTCCCTAATGGGATGGCTTCTCTTTTAATGTGTTTAAACCTATATCACTTGTAGGAGTTGTCAAATGTAGAATATCCTTGCAATATGTGTCTATTATTTGAATTTTGAACCCTCCATTTTGCTTTCCGTCTTGATAACTAATTGTTCAAAGTGTCATATGTCACTTTTGAATCTCCATAGAAGCATACACCTAATGCATGTCTTTTAATCTTCAGAGATCTACTATGAACCATCTATAAAACAACATTATGTGTTAGTTGTACTTGTAACCTCTAGCTTTGTTGTTACTACTTGAGTTTTGGTTATGGACTTACTTCGACATATTTGGTTATATTGAGCCTTGTTATGGTTTAAAGCTTCTTCAACATTTAAATCTAGTGCATTGTTAATGAGATGATCATATAGTATATAATGATGATGCACTCTGGTCAAAGTTTCAAAATCTCTTTAAGAACTTTGTATTGAAAAAATAAATGGTTTTCTGAGTCTTCTCCACCTAAGTGGCAGATATTGTTAAGTGTTAACTATCATTTTATTTATCTTTAGCAAATCTGATTCAATGATAGAGAATTACAAATTTTTGGAAGGTTAACAAAAAGAAAGAGAAGTACAAAATTTGGAGCATTTGCCATGGGACGTTATTTGCAGACGCCAAAATGTGACCTTTAACATATATCGCGATTAAAACGGAAAAATAGTTAAAATAAGCCAAAGGGAGAAATGTAGGGACCACAGACTGGACGCGTGCACAGAATATTCACACTATTTAAATGTTTCTTTCGAATCCGCCACTCCATCTCAGCTTATCACACCCATCTACGATAACCTCAACAACATTTCTGATAAGCGAGACAGCATATCACCGATGCAGGCTCATATTTGATAAGTCGGTTAAAATGAGGAAAGAAAGACCTTTATCTCTGCAAGTCCAAGAAAGCGAGGTCAGGTCTCTCTCTCTCTCGCAATCTCCTCCTTTATACATACACACTCTTCTCTCCATTTTCCCAAAAGCAGAGCTCATCGAAACCCTAGAAAACCTCGAAACCAGAGCCGTGATTCCGGCTACAATCAGTTTCGTTTCGCTTGTCTAAGCTCATCGTCGAAACGTAATCGTGTGTTTTGGTTCTACCGTTTTGATTGACGTTTGATTTTTGAGATTCGGAGCTCCGGCGAAGAATGGCGTCGTGGAACCGAGAGATTGTGGTTCTTATGCTGCAATTTCTCAAGGAAGCGAATTACATGGAGTCTATGCACAGGTTAGAGTGTGTGTTTGTATTTGCGTAAGAAGACGAATACCAAGTTCGATTGAAAATCCCAACTACATTTATTTCGTCTCTGCGTTTATGGTTAGTGATTCCCAAGTTTCAGAATCAGAGAAAAGTTGACAAGAGATTGAAAGACAGAGAAACCTTCGTTGCTGATTTCTTGTTTGATGTTTGATTAGCCTGAGTTCTTGAGAGATCTTTTCTTGTTCTTGTTTATATACCCTGAGACTGAGAGGGTGCAATGACCAATCTAATTGGTGGGGTTTGTGTTGTATAGGCTGGAGAAAGAGTCGGGATTCTTTTTCAATACAGAGTATTTTGGTGAGAAAATTCTTGCTGGAGAATGGGATGAAGTTGAGACGTACTTGTCAGGTTTTACCAAGCTTGATGATAACGGATACTCAACGAGAATATTCTTTGAGATCAGGAAACAAAAGTATCTTGAGGCTCTTGATCGGTATGAAATAACCTATCTTTCGCAAATCTGATTTCTTTTTCTTTTTCTTTTTGTGTGGTATCATCTCATGTCTCTTCGACAGGCAAGATAGGGCAAAAGCAGTCGAGATACTTTACAAAGATCTGGCATTCCTCTCCACTTCCGAGGAGGGACTTTACAAAGAAATGACTCTACTTTTAATTTTGCCAAACTTCAGGTACTTTTGATATGGAATCCACTCTACTTGTAGGCGTTTCAAGCTCTGTAGAATTTTCTGTTCGGATGTGTGTTAAAATGCTCCAGTTGCTCTATTGTTTGCCTTTGTGGATTGAATTTTACATCAATGATATTCGATTCTCCATTATATGCAGGTTAAATCAGAACCTTTCCACATATGGAGACATTGAAAATGCTCGGAGCATAGTGTTAGAAGCAGTTAAAAGACTTATCGAAGCGAATCCTCTTTTTCATGAGAAATTGATATACCCTACCTTGAGAACTTCGAGACTGCGGACTCTGATTAGTCAAAGGTCTGTTACATTTTTCGTCCTCATGACCATGATATTTGCTGCTAAGTTTGCATGAATGGATTCATTGTGCATGTGTTTTCTTTGCAGTCTTAATTGGCAGCACAGTTTTTGCAATAATCCTAGACCAAACCCACATATTAAAACTCTATTCACAGACCACACGTGTCCAAACCCAAATGGTGGTGCTGTTGCTGCTAATGCTGGTGCTTTAGCTAATTGGATGGCTGATGCGCCTGCCGTTGTTATACCTGCCTCAATGTTTCTACCTCAGAATCAAGGTTAGTTTGTGACCATCTTCCATATTTCTATTTTCTAGACTTATCAGTAACTACCCTGTTCAATTTCCTTCTAAGACTAATTACTTTTCTTCCAAAAAAGTACCAATTCTGAAGCGACTGAGAACACCACCAGCAACTCCAGGTATAGTAGATTATGAGAATCCGGATCATGAACGAACGAAGCGTCTCCGCCCTGCTCCATGGTCGCTGGAAGATTTGCCAACAAAGCCAGCTATGGCGTTGCATCAAGGATCGACTGTGACAAGCATGGATTTCCACCCTATGCAAAATACATTACTTCTTGGTATGAGATTTTGAAATATTTGAGTGCTAAGCTCATTTGAAATTAGATTTCTGTTATTTGTTCTTTGGCTTTGTGAATGACCATTTGAGTTCCATCAGTCGGATCTGTGACTGGAGAAATCACGTTGTGGGAACTCTCCGTTCGAGAGAAGCTGGTTTCAAGGCCATTCAAGATATGGGATACGGATAACCGTACACTTCCATTTCAGGTTTGTCTTTACAGCTATTGATATTAGTTTATTTGTTTGCTCTCAAAGTCTTAGTTTCAAGTTTCAACAACTGTGAGAATTGATGTAGACAAAACGTATAAGCAAACTTGTTGTAGTGCAAGGATTTTATAGTAATCATTTGTGGGCTTCATACAGGCATTGATATGTATGAAAACACCAACATCCGTCACCCGCGTTGCATGGAGTCAAGATGGAAATTTCATTGGTAAGTTTCCCATCATGTAATGTGGGAATTGTTATTGGTCTCCGTGTCCAGTCTCTGGTCTCAGCGTCTCCTTGTGCAGGGGTTGCATTTTCAAAACATCTTGTTCAATTGTATACTTTCTCCAGACATAATAATCTTCGCCAGCATGTTGAGGTGAGCATATGTTTGATCCGTACGACAAACAATGCGATGTGGTAGTATCCCATAAAATTACATCACTTTTTTCTCACAGGTTGAATCCCATGCCGGTGCTGTGAATGACTTGGCTTTCGCTAATCTGGACAAAAAAGTATATGTAGTTACTTGCGGAGATGATAGGCTAATCAAGGTGAGATAAAGAGTCAAGGTGAGAAAAAATATGCAGTTGCTACAGCTGTCTAACTTGATCAATGTGGTACAGGTATGGGATGTCTCTGGTTGGAAGCAATTTATTACCTTTGAAGGTCACGATGCTCCTGTTTATTCCGTTTGTCCTCATCAGAAAGAGAACAATCAGGTGTGGCAAGGAATTAAAAAGAACTATATTGTTTTCCAAGCCATTTGAAGAACCACTTAAGTAGACATATTTGGTATACTAGTTCCTTGCCTACTGATATCTGCTCTTTCCAAAATAAATCAAGTTCTTATCTGGATTTCAGTTCATATTTTCAACGGCCAGAGACGGGAAAATAAAATTGTGGCTTTATGATAATCTGGTCTCTAGAGTTACCGCTGATGCTCCTGGTAAATAGTGTACTACGATGCTTTACAGTGCTGATGGGACTAGGTACAATCCAAGATCTTATAATCCTTTGAACCGGTTATCAGTCTCTTCTTTATTGTTCACTCCTAGTTTTTAATATCTTCAAAGTCGTCTTCAAACTCATTTGGTCTCCGGAAATTCCTTCATTTTCATTGCCGATTCAATAAACAACTCAAATATATCTTTACATTGCTTTGCTTCAGTTCTTTGTAACTGTGCTGTATTTTTCCTCTTCAGATTGTTCTCTTGTGGAAAGAGTGAAGATGGAGACTCTTTCCTGGTTGAGTGGAACGACAGTGAAGTATCAATTAAAAGGAAATATTTTGGGTGTAGCAAAAAGTTGACAGGTGCAGCTCAGTTCGATAGCTCAAAGAACCACTTTCTTGCTGTTGGTGAAGACGGGCAAATCAAGTTCTGGGATATGGACAAGATCAATGTTCTGACTAGCACTGATGCTGAGGGTGGACTCCCGGTTAGTCTCACAGATTCTTCTTTTCTCCTCATGGCTTGTTATGCTTGGTTTTCTTCTTTTCAGGTTTTGATATTCGCTTGTGATTGCTTTAGGCTCTCCCTCGTTTGAGATTTAACAAGGAAGGGGATCTACTAGCCGTTTCTACAGCAGATGAAGGATTTAAGATCTTAGCAAACGAAGCTGGTTTCAAATCTCTGGGAGTTGTAATGATTCTCAACTTTGTAGTATCTTCTGTCCTTTCTTGACATCAAATGTCCTAGCAAGCTGTCTCGGTTTACACACTTGGGGATTCTGTTAGGTTCCTGTTGCATCTGTCAGCTCTCTAGTCAGACCCTCTCCAATGCTGGTAAATCATCCTTTACATGTTTATTATATTCCTGACCATTTTATAAACCTTTTAATTGTTCTGTTCTTGCCACATTTAGAAATGTTTACTATTTTCCTTTGTTTTGGTTGTTCATCAAGACTGGAGTTGCTGCCTCAAGCTCAAGGATTGATGAGTCAGCAGACAAACCACAACCTCGGCAATTAGCTGAAATCTTGGACCCTTCCCATTGTCGCCAGGTTACTTTACCGGATACCACTGGTTCTTCCACAAAGGTTTGCACAAAGAATTGTCTCAGAAAGTTGTTTTATACTATAAAAGTTAT